ATATACTATACTTTATTAATATTACAGTATTTATTTTTTTAAATTTTGTATGAAATGGCTCTCCATAATATTTGTCTGTGTTTATCTGAGAGTGCTGTATGAGGGTTGCAGAACGTGAAGAGGTTAAAAAAGGTGCTCTATGAGTGTGGATTATTTACCTTTTATGCACAAAAAGTGCTTGGCCTTGCTCAGACTAGCCACTAGCTCATCACTTCAGGCAAAATGAAATTTCTTTCTCTCATGTGAGATCATTCAGAGTTATCTCAGGGTTCCCACGGGTCCTTGAAATGCTTGAAAGTTTGTGAATTTGTAAAAAATGATTTCAAGGCCCTGGAAAGTTTGTGAAAAAAGCCAAAAATTACACTAGTCCTTGAAAGTTTTTGAATTTTTTTTGGGGGGGGTTGAAGTTATCTATTCGCACGACTGATTTTCATCATCTGTAGAAAATAAATAAATAAATAAATAAATAAATTGGAAAAAAAACACACATTTGTTGCGGTAGATAGCTCAGGATTACGGTAAACTAACGTGGCTTTCAGCAAATAACGTGAGCCATGGTCATAGTTTTAGCCAATCAGAGCAGAGTAGGGCGGGTCCTTCTTTCTGAGACAGGTGAAAGCACCACAACTCCTCCTGTCCTCACCAAGCACCTGGACGTGTTCACATCCTCTCCTCCCACACTGAGCTGCTGAACCTCTCAGGACATAATTAATCTCCATGTATTGTAGATATGAATGTAGGGTGTACATTTAATCCACTTTCTTTCGTTGATTCTGACTCAACAACTTCTATGTTCAGTTTTTTTTATTGAATTTGCATATTAAACCTGTTTATTGGCAACATCGTGCGGTAGCAGTAGGTAATTGTCGTTACGCGTGGTTCTTTAATTTGAGGAAATTGCTACTGGAAAGTTCTTCAAAGGTCCTTGAATTTGATGTTGAACGAGGTGTGGGAACTCTGTTATCTACGACAGGTTGATTGTCCATAATGTTTAAAAGATTTGAAGTACTGAAGTGAAGCTGCAGAGCACAGACTGTAACAGTTTTTGAGTTGTATTTTTTTTTCTAACCTTGTTTGTTTTCTCAGGCGTCCTCTTGATTATTACACCATGGAGCTGAGTGAACATGCAGAGGGACTGTCGGATCTATAACCGAGGCTTTGAATCGACGCATTTTAGTGCGAGGGAAGGCAAGCACTCGATGAACGTGGTCAGAGCCCCGGTTTGACGTGTGCGTCGTGTATCGAGCAGCTCTTCTCACATGAAAGGGACCTCCTCTGTACGTTGTCTGATGAAGACGACTTGTTGAGTTACGAACAGCGCGGCTGGTTGCAGTGACGTCACATCAGGCAAGGCAACATTTTCTAAGGACTAAATTGCAAACTTTGCCTGCAAACACTGCTTGTTACTGTTCGTCGGGGAAATGAAGAGAGAAGGGATGCTTTTACTTTTACATACTTGAGTCCTGAATACTCATTTTAATGACTTGTTTATGCTACTTTGGATAAAGCCTTTTAATTTGATCACAACCCTGCAAGTTCAGCTGAAACTTAAAGATAACACTTGTTCAGCTTACATTTCTTAAAACAAAACAAAACAAAAAAACCCAATCCTGCTTACATTCCTGCTTTGTCCTGTTTAAACCGTGGTTACTCAAAGGGTTCAGTTGTCCCATAAATGTGAAATGTCTCTAACTTGTGTGCTTGTAACCACTTCTGTGTGCTTGCTTTAAGCAAACTGTTTACATTTTCTTAATTGACAATTAGCAAAATAACAAAAAATAAATAATAATAAATTCAAGGCAGATAAAGTGATGATTTTGATTTAGAGTTTTAGGAGGTGAATGTTTCCTCTAACACCTCTCTTGTGCCTTTTTTTTTATCTGTGTATAAATTTATCTGATGATTGCTCACTTATGCCCAGGACAGTTCAACCCAAACTGACCCTGATGAGATGTTTTTCTTCGTTTAGCTCAGTTTGTATCATTGTTTTTCAGTCTGTTGTTAAAACCAACATAAAAAGAAAATATACTGTATATATACCATGAACACAAAACAAAAGTTTTCTAGGATTTTCTGTGTAATAAGAAAAAAGTTTATTATAAATGTGTATATTTTTAGAGTTTCTGTGAGAAATTCCACAATGTAAATTAAAATAAGACAAAAAAAGTGTTCAAACTTGAATAAAATATCTGCGAGTCTAAGTTGACACATTAGAAGTCCACACTGAAATTCAGAAAATAAAAAAAAATAAAAAAAAAACACTGGGGGGACGGGGGAGACTTTGTGTTATATCAACAAGTTCTCAATGAAAAAGCTCTTGTGTTCATTTATTATCCAATGTCATGCACGTTAAAATAAAACGTTTTCACTGATGTGCAGATGAGTTCAAGTCATTTTTCCAACGTTCACCATTACTGCTCTCAAATATCTAATTGTTTTATTCTCCTGCAGCTCACATCTGTGCTTCTTTCCTGGTCTTTGTACACAAACAGGGCAGTCATGCAGGAAGCATTTGTTTACATCTGTTGGTAAGTCTGCTCGATGAATGCATTTTGCACTTTTCTCGCGTTCTAGTTTGCCGAGCATGAATTATGTGTCATCTTTGTTGCCAAAGCCACAGGTCTGAGCGAACGACATGGTTTCTTAAAGAGGAGAGGGAGTCAAAGCGTGGTTTTACATTCTGGTTTAGGTTATTGACACGTTGCCTGCAAACATACTGAACTTTTTTCTTCCTTTTTTTTTTCCTTTTTTGCTTACGGTTCAACCTGCTAACCGCAGCACAGGAAGCCAGATAGACAGGAAGATGCAGCAGCAGCAGCAGCAGCAGGGCTGCCTTCGTTTTGACACGAGCTGCTAAGTTTTAAACTCTTGTTGAATTTGTTTTCTGCAGCTCGGTTAGATTTCACCTCCTAGAAGTTTGTCTTCCCAGAGTTTAGCTTTGTGAGCTGTCATGAGATTTATGGAGCCACCTTATAGGACGTCTGTGATGTTGAAGTTTTCCATCTTTTGATGCCTCATGGTGAGTTACTGGAGTTTTGTTAAACTTTGCCTTTTCAGGGGCATAACACGCACAGCACACACATGCTTGTCCACTTTTCCATTTTCTGATTTTAACGTAACAAGTATGAGTGAGCTGGTAAAAGTTATTAAACAGATCTGCTGGTACATTTTTTTCCTGCTGGTCTGACTTTTTGAATTGACTGAGCTCATGCATGATCAGCAGTGAACCACAAAGGAAGGCTTTATGCCATATCCTGTTGATAATATTTAAAAATGGTTTGTTCCACTTTGACAAATGCAGTAACTGATTCTAAAAATGGACTGAGTGAAGTGAATGTGGCTCAACAAAGCAAGAAAAAGTCTATTTTACAGAGCTGATAACAAAACAAAAGACAAAAAAAACCTTGCAGTCAGAAATTGCTAATTACTTTTAGAAACTGTAGCAGTTTCATCTCAAGGTCATGTCCTCAAATGCTTGTAGAAGCAACTAAAAACCCACAAACTACAGCTCAGAGTCTACAGACCTCAGGTAGCTGGTTATAGTTCATCACAGTAAAATTAGAAAAAGTTTTAACAGTTTGAAATAATAACTAGAAGAAAACCTCTGAAAAGAACACAGGGATTCAGTTTAAGTTTGCAAAAGTTCGCCAAACCAAGTTGTCTGAATTTAACAGACGATAAATAAACTGTATTTGATCGTAATCGAGATCAACATGTTTGGAGGGAAACACCTCTAAAACACCTCTTAGGAGCTGTCAGCATGAAAAAAGTCACTCTTGACTTGAAAGTGCAGTGTCCTGTTGGACAGCTGAGGTTTAACGTACAGTGTGCTGATTAAAAGCTGTTGCTGTAACTATGTAACTCAAGCTTTGAAAAACTAAGGCAATGGTGTTAATAAAAATGGTTCCAAATGGATAAAATCTTTAGAAATAATTAATTTACTAGAAATTACTGCATGAGACATCCTTTTCACACATGGACTGGCTCCACAGAGTCCATTGAGAACCTTTGGGATGTGCTGGAGAAGGCTTTGTGCAGAGGTCAGACTCTGCCATCATCAATGCAAGATCTTGATGAAAAATTAATGCAACACTGGATGGAAATAAATTTTGTGACAATGCAGAGGCTTATCGAAACAATGCCACAGCAGATGTGTGCTGTGATCGAAGCTAAACGCGGTCCAACAAAATATCAGTGTGTGACTTTTTTTTCTTTTTTCTTTTGCCAAGCAGTGTTGTTACTTAATTGTGGTATAAAATTTATGAGCCTGGAAAATACATATTACCCCTCCTCCCTCCCCCTTTAAATAAATCAGAGTCCAAGATTCAGAGGCAATATATCCAACAAGAAATAGTAAATCATTTCAATTGTTACTTTTTTCATTCAATGTTTTTTTTTAGAATAAAGGAATAATTGTCACAATTATAAAGGAGGTTGGATTCAGGAATGCAGACTCACACAAGAAAACTTGAACCATATATTTTTCAAAATTTCATAAAACAAAACAAGTCTGAAGTGGCAGTGAACTACTTACAGAAAACACTTAAGTAGACACAAAGAGGCACACAAAGAGACCTGGGGTCCGATTTATAAAGCTTGCGTACGCACAAAACGAGCCCAGAAACTTGCGTACGCCACTTTTCATGCAAAGGTTGTGATTTATAAAATCCAAACTTGACGTGAAAATGTGCGGTGCCTCAGCCAGCTCTGACCCATGCGTACGCTCATTTTGGAGACAGGAAACTGCGACACAGATGGTGAAGTGAAGAATTATGGCCACACTGTGTAATGATCACTGTCAGATATTTAATTTCACTTCATAATCAGACTTAGATTTTTATTCAACTTTATCATCAGCTTTCTTAGTATTATTTTTGCGTCTGCTGGTGAGCAATAAGGACCGAAGTAAAAAACTTAAATCTTAAATAAAATTTCACACAACTCCATCCATCTCCTTCCTCCTCAGACGACCCTGACCCACAGACCCCTCCCCGACAAGAGACATTTCAACAGAACGACAGCAAAAGTCATGCTTGGGTACTCGCAGGGCCCGCCCCTCGCCAGTGTGGATGTTATAAAAAGTTCACTTTTTAAAGTCCGTATTTCTCGCGCGCGTGCACTGGGCTGTGTGTGTGTGTGTGTGTGTGTGTGTGTGTGGGGGCTGC